TTGAACTACCTTTGTTATCCAGTTTGATGACACCACGGCTATGGAGTTGCTGTGTCTGTGCACTGGGAGAAGGGAGGGCTCAACAGAGAACAATGGATACTGCTGGCACTTCTGTACCTAGTGAGTGTCTCCTAGGCCCTCACTCCGACAATGTCTCCCTGTAAGTCCCTGGTGCCCCCCCCAACCCCCCGCAGCGCAGCTGAATCAACACTGGTGCTCAGAGCGAGCAGGTCTGTCACTGCAAAATCTGCTCATGGATGCGGCCCCCTGCTGCTGCTTCTGCTGCTGCTGCTGCTGCTGCTCCTCACACGGCGGGCGCTCCTGCCGCTGCAGCCGCGGCCGCTGCCGGAGAGTCAGACCCTGCGCCTTCCATTGCCACATTGCGCGGGGGTCCCGAGGTCTCTGTGGCCGCCGCTGCCCACATCCAGTTCTCCAGAGGGCAAGAGCCGGCGTGCAGAGCCAGCCTGTCCTTTGGGCGCTCGCGCAGCGTTCCTCGCGGTCCCCAACTCCCCCTACCAGTCCCCCGCCCCGCGCCGCGACCCCTTCACTGCAGAAAGCGCCAGCAAATCCCCGTCGCTCCCGCCGGCCTCGTTGGCTCCCTCGGCGCCTCCTGGGTCGCCCGATCGGTCGCGCAGGGCAAGCGCAGAGCCGCCGCCACAGGATCCGTGAGTGCCTGGCGGGTCTCAGCGCTGCCGGGCCGGGATAGCCGCCGCCGCCGCTTCTCCTGCGGCGGCTGCTGCTGGCGGTGGCGGCTCCTGAAGCTGCTGCTTGGGCTGCTCGGGCTCTGACTGCTGGGTTTGCGGTGGCTGCTCGATCCCGGACTCTGCTTTCTTGTGCTCCTCGCCGACCCGCTGGACCATTCTGCCCCCGTGCAGCGCGCCTCTCTCGCTCCCGGGACCTGGAGACTCCGCTCTGTGTGTGTGCAGCGGGCAGCGGCCGCAGCAGCTCCTTGATTCAATAGATGAGATGGAAGAAGAAAAAAAAGAACTCTCTCCATTTGGAGAAAGAGGAGGAGGAGGGGAGGGGGTGGAGGGGGAGAGAGCGAGCGAAAGAGAAAAAGGCTGGAGCTCCCGCCCCTGGGGCTGTCAGATGGCTTGGGTTTCTGCGACGCGATTGGCTCATGGAGGGCAGAAATTACTCAGCAAACATGACTATTATTAGCTGCTTAGCAACAGCTCACCAAAGTAGAGAGACCACCCAGGTAGGCAACCCCAGTGTGTGCATCCCCGGCTTCGGGGGGAGCCTCCGAGAGCGCCAACCTTCTCGCATGCAATACTTCCATTAAGGAATGCTCCCTCCCTTCTTTCTTATTCCTTTTCTTTTCAACAGTCTATTTTTTGTAGACGCCTTTTGAGTGCGTACACACACTCACACACAAACACCCACGAACATTTGCCTCGCGATAGACACGAGGGAAATGTAATATTTTTTTTAAGTGCTTAAACAATTTCTGAAATTCCTCAAAGAAAACCCTTTCAGAGGCACCTTGGCCTCAAGCTGCAGCAAATACTGGGAGGTCCGGCTTGAATTCCCAGGCCTGCACCAATAATGACAGGGTGGTGGATAGTGCGCCAGTATGTGCCAGATTTTTTTTTTCCCTCCTCTCTTTTCTTTTATAACTAAAGAGAAGACTTAGGCTCTCGCAGGGAACAACGCCTAGCATTAAGATAAACAAAATGGAAAGTTAAAGAGGAAAGTAAGGACGTTGGGAAAAGCAACCCTCTCTTAAAAATCCACCCCGCCCCCCATCAGCCAAAAAACCCCCACGGCAGCACAGTCCTTGTTTGAAGGAGGCAGTGTTTTATAAACGTGGAATCTAGACACTAAAGAATTCTCATGGAGGCAGAAGGGTTTTTATTTGAATCTTTATTGTGACATATGTAAAACAGAAACAACAGAATTCTTTTAACAACCCGGAGAAACGGGAATTGTTTCCTTGAGAGACCAAAGTTTTCCTATTCTGGATTTATTTGGGCATGCCCCCCGTTTTTATTAACCACATGTCCTTATTTATTTAATCAGTTTTAAACTTTTTTAAAAAACTAGTACGCGTCCTGTTATATATAATAATAGCGTGACGCAGGGGAGAATAAAGGCTTTGATGTTGGATTTATTCGAAACAAATTGTGCGCTGATAGCGAGGACTTGTTCGGACACTGCAGCCAGTGTCACTGAGACATCCCAGGGCTTCGCTTCCCGTTGGTGAAGAAAACACGCGATTCTTTGTGGTAGGTCCTGGGGGCCAGAGTCAAATTAAACTGTCTACAAAGCTTCAATTATTTTTAAAATAATGTTTTTGGACAGTGGAATTTATTTTTCTTACGTTTGCAAGTTCCTCCCTGAGATAAGGTCCAGACTTACAAATCATCGAGCTTGTCTAATTTTAGTATTTCCCCCCCTTTTTATAAACGGCATTGAACAGTAGAGTGACCTGCGGCAGCAAGAAACCGCCTGAAGCCGTGAAATGGGACCGTGTGGCTTTAAGATGCACACGGTGTGTGTTCATTGAAAAAAAAGAAGAAAGGGAAGGAAAGGAAAGAAAGAAACCCAGATGGAGAGAAAGGAGGAGGAGCGGGGGAGGAGGCGGGGCCACGAGGCCACGTGACCTAAGGCCGGGCCGGCGCGCGCTCGGCGACAGGGAGGCCTATTGCGCGCGCGTGTCCGAGTGCGCCTGCATGCGCGCGCGCTTGAGTGCTGGGACTCCCCGCGCTGGCGCGGCCCGGGTCAAGCAGAGAGGGAAGTTGGTGTGCTCTGCTCGCGCTCGGCGGCCTCCACAGCTCAAACACTGCCTTCCAGGAGCCCCGGCGAGTTGCGCGCCCCGCCGGCGCGGACGGACGTGCCGGCCGCGCCGTAGTACATTCCTGAAGGCGGTCCAGCCCCCTTACGTTGCCCAATGCCCGCGCGGCCTCCCCGCGGCCGACCAATGGCTGAGCGCACGGCTCCCTTTCCATTCAGCAGCCCAGCGGCTGCGGCCCCGGCGGGAGAGTGACTGCAGCGCCGCTCTCCAGCCACCGCGTCAGCCCACGCGGCTCCCGTGGGGGTCCTGTGGGCCAGCCAGCCCTGCCCGCCCTCTTCCTTCCTCTATAGTGGTTCCCCTCTCTCCTTTCCCTCTCCATTCTCTTTCTC